AGCATGCTGCGGCTGGAACCCCCTTCAGCACTTGATCCATGGCTCTCTGGAACACTGCTGGTGCGTTACGAAGCCCGAAAGGCATAACGTTGTACTCATACAAACCGTCCACCCCGTGAAATGCTGTTTTCCGTTTATCTGCTTCTCTAATGCCTAATTGATTGAAGCCCTGCCGCAGGTCCAAGGTGGTAAAGACGGTGGCCCCTTCCAGCCGGTCGAAAATGTCTTCAGCAGTCGGCATAGGGTATCTGTCTGGGCTTGTAATCTTGTTCAGCTCCCGAAAATCCCCGCACATCCGCTTCGCTAGAATCTTTCCCGTGATGTCCTTCCTAGCAGCCACCACCGTGGCCGCCGCGTAACTTGATTCTGATGGGCGAATAATCCCTGCAGCTAGCAACTCCTCACATTTCTCCTTGCAGATGGCTGCATCCTCCGCATTCATTCGCCTCCTGCGTTGGTATGTAGGTAGCTCAGTCGTGAGGTTCAGCTCCAGCTCTCTCCCCTTGTATCTCCCCAATTCCTGCAGGTTATAGGCGAAGGTGCCCCTATGCTGCTGCAACACCTCCCTGATTGCTTCGGCTGCTTGCTCCCCTATACCTGCCCCCAGCTCCCAGGTTTTGCCCGGCTCTGCTTCCGTCCCTACTGGTGGTGCAGTTTTGATCTCCTTCTCGTCTGTGAGCTTGCTGACAGCGGCGTAAGCAGCCTGCTTGCTGCCCCTGCACTTCTCCTCTTCCGTCTTTCCCTTTTTCTCGGCTGGCCCCTTTCTCATCTCACTAATTAGCCATCGCAGTGAGTGCTGGTCTATGGCTCGGCCCAAGGCAGCTTTGCGCACCTCCTCCCCTACTCCCTCTGCTGCAGTTGCCCCCGGCAGGTACCCCATGGCTAATTCCCTCTCCAAAGCAGTCGGCTCCTCCCATCTTTTCTTACGGTGATCATACACCATCCCTGGACCTGGAGTCCCTTCCACTTCGACAAATCCCCGTGCCTTTGCATAGGCCACCAGTGTCGGCCAGGCCCTCCTCGCTTCCCCCACTCGGTTACACTGATACTGTCGCGGATGATCTGGCTTTACCACTGGGGCGGCCACTCTCCCTGGTTCCAGAATGTCTTCCACGATTCGGCTCTCATCTCTCTCCACCCTTGCTAATCTCGCCCTCAGTTCTCCTTCTGGCAGGACGTTCTGCCAGTACTGCCGCACTCTATGACACCTTGCCCCCAGCTGTGCCCCGTCACAACTCACTCCCCTTCCCAATTCTGCTTCCACCAGTTCGCGTACGGCTCGGACCGGCTCCCTGCTATCACTCCTCATATCCACATGTTCTAGGATGTACGCATATTCCCCGCCAGATTCTCTCGCCCACCTCATAATCGTCAGCAGTGTTGTCACCATCGCCGTGCGGTCATCCTGCATTCCTCTTCCCTTCCCCGCTCGGGAAGTACCCTGGCACTCCCACCCTGCTACCAACAGGTCCACCTTTCCCCAGCGGTTCACGTCTTCCTTGGTAAGCTGTCCCACATCCCACTTCTCATTCTGCATGGCCTCCCGTATCACTTCCTTCGCCAGTTGAGCTGGGTACCGCTGCTGCAGTATCTGTGCATGCTTCCAAGCCATCCTCCTCACCTCCGGGTCTATTTCCACATACACCCATCTTTTCACCTTCAGCCCTGCTTCCAGTGCCGCCGCTAAGCCTGCCCCCAGCCCTCCAAACAGCTCCACTAAGGTAACGCTATACTGGTTCAGGTTAGCTCCGACCTTGCCCTCTTTGGTACTCCCCCTCCTTACGCTCTCTCTTCTCATGCCCTCCGCCCTCCAAGCCTTCTTCGGTTCTGTCTTGACAAACCGCACTGGCAGCTCACTCAACTCCTTTCCCTCAATCCAGAAATCCGAGCGGTAGAGCACCTGTTCCTGCCAGGTACAAATTGTTGTACCTATCTTGAATAGCAGCTCCATCCCCAGCAGAACATCATAATCCTCCGATTCCGTCAGCCCACATTGCACTCTTATCGTCGTTTCTCCCTTCTCTCCCGGCTGCAGAGTAATCTCGATGGGGTCCTTAGTACAGGGCATCCACTTTGGTGCCCCTCCCTCGGCTGTCATGATCAGTATGCCTCTGTTTACTATTTCCAAGTCCCCTTTCTCCCGTAACTGTTCTGTCAGCTTCCTTCCCAGCAGGACACTCTGTGCGCCTGTATCCACCACGGCGTTCTCCACTAATATGCCCCTGACAGCCACTGCCTTAGGTTCTACCACCAGGGCCGTGGGTTGGCAGACGAGTCTCTCCTCAGGATGCCGTCGAGCCGTCCTCGGCTTATGGCTTTCTTCTTGTTGCCGAGGGGTTCTCCTTTCAGGCTGCTTCTGCTCTGTCCTGCCATCCTTCCCGCCGCTGCGCAGCCCCAACTCCTCTCGGTCTCTAGGTGGTATGGCCATGGCCCCGTACTCTGCCTCCTCTCTCTCATACTCCTCCTCTTCATCGTCCTCCCAAGCCAGCAATGCCTTCTCAGGGTCCTCACTAATCTCAGTCTTCTCCAACTGTCCCTTCAGCTTCGCCACCTCTCTCTCTAACTGTAACTCCCTTGCCGATTTTCCTCGCATTCTCTCTCCCTTGCTGTAGCACCTGTCTTCAGTATGCCCCCTTTTCCCACACCCGGTGCAGATAGGTGCCTTGGGGCAGTCACGTCTGAAATGTCCTTTCATCTTGCATGTGTCGCACACTATGTCTATGGCGCAGTCCTTCCGCACGTGCCCCTTTTCGCCGCACTTGTAACACCTGCGTCTATCTTCAGACGGCCTCTCTCTTCGTTCCTCTTCCCCCTGTCTCCCTTCCACCGCTGCCCAAGCAGGCCTCCGACGTTCGCTCGGCCGACTGGAGCTTGACCCCCTCATTCCTTCGAAAAACCTCTTCCATCCTCCACTTCTTTCGCCACCTGGTACACCTGTCGCAGCTTCGCCCGTACCCCCAAGGAGTATAGTCGGCTTCTCATGTCTCGTATCAAGTCCCCATCCAGTCCGTTGACGAACTTGGTCACTAGGATGCGCTCCTCCACGCAGCCCATATCCTCTGCCAGCTCCAGTAAACGGTTATAGTAGGCCAACATCGACTCTGCCGGCGCTCTTCTGAAGTCTTGAAACTCCGCCATCCGGTCAGCCGAATGCCCCGGGAACTGCTCCTGCAGGCTTTCCAAGAAACGGTCCGTAATATCTGCCGGTAAGATATCTCCTCTGTTGCTCCTCATCAGCAGCCCCTGCCTCTCCACGCGGTAATGAGTCAACGCCTCTCCTTTGAGAGTCCTCCCCAAGCCTCTGAAAAATTCAATAGGATCCAGTCGCTCCCTATCCCAGCAGTAGCGAATGTCTTCAATCATCATCAGGTAGTTTTTCAGCGTGGGCTCCTCTCCGGGTGCCCCCGAGAAGCGGTCTGGTACCTCAATTTTGGGGGGTGTAGTACTCATCGACCTGCCTGTCCCCCAGCTTGTGTTCCCTCCTTCTCCACTCCCTGCAGGTCGCCCTGCTCTCCCGGCCTCCATGGCTTCGTATCCTCCAGCAGAGAATCCGTGATATGCTTCCTTGCCTCGCTGACTTCGTCGTTCCACCGATTGATCGTCTCCTCCCCTCAGACTACGCCTTTCTTCACGTTGATCTTCTTCTCCTCTCTGACTCCGCCGTTCTTCTCGATGATCTTCCCCTCCCTTCTGACTTCGTCGATCTTCATGTTGATCGTCTCCTCCCAGATCTGGATTTCCTCGGCGAGATCCACTCCCCACAGGTCGCCCTCCACTCCTCTCCGCGGGCGAGTCGCATGCAGAGCTCGACTGTTGTTCTCCGTGTACACCTCGTTCTTCCTCCCGATCCCCGCCTTGGTTACCGCGCGAGATCGTCCCTCCTTCGCCCGCCCGAAATCCAGGCATCCTGACCGGCGGATCACGTCCCTCCATCATCCTCGCCGGGAATCGGTGTCCAGAGCGCAGTTGATGAGTGTGAAGCTCACGGTCGAAATTACTCATTCCTCACAGTGCATCACCGTGGGCAACTCCAGGCAGTAGATCCTGCCACCTCTTCTTTCAACAATCGTAATCCTGACTACCCTTTTTGCTTGTATGAAACAAGACTTAACTCCCTCGCAAGGGCTCCGCCGATTTGCTTCAGCTCCTCTCTACTGCTAGTTCCCCGTGGTTTAGGAAATCACAATTGCAGTAAACGAGAAACATACAAGCAAAAAGCAACGAGTCTGAGCGCTACCCCAGTCTACATCCCCTCCTGCCTAGGTGCCTTGTCCCGCAAGCTACCTCTACTCCTAAGCGCGAGTCAGCCGAGCTGATCGCGTAGGCTTCAAGGTGCTAGCTGGGTCCCACTCGGCCCACTAGGCATGCACCGCCTTCCAGCCTGGTGAATGGCGAATTGAATTCCCAGGCTGGCTGGAATCGAATTCGCCACCAACCTCCCCCCTAACCACCTCGAAATCCTCAGCAGCTCGACTCAGTATAGTACAGTAACATTCCAAAAGAGCAAACAAAGTAAAATGCAAAAAGCAGTAAACTATAGTACACCTCACCTTGGCTGCTGTGTAATTCACACTTAGTTGCCAGCTAAGTGTTAATCACGCGACAACTGTGCAACGCGATACAGCGCGGTGCAACGTGGTCCTGAGCAAAGGCTGGCCTGACAACGAGCCCTACTAAAAACCTGGGCAGCTCAGCAAAACATATCCCGAAGCAGACCAGCGTCTCTTGTCATTGCAGCAACACTGGGTAAGAAAACATCGATTTTGAAGCTGTGACTACACACACATGCCTACCCATTGCAGCACCACTGACGGGGCATGTAACAGCCGAAAACAAACGACAGCACAGCCAGGTCGCTGGGAATCACGGGGCTTGCATTTGCATACCCCCCCGCCACCGCACTCTGCGTTGACTTTTGAGTCGACTCAAAAGTCAACTTGCATACCCCCCCGCCACCGCTCTCTGCCCGCCCACGCCCTGCTACACCCACACGTCCTAGCCTAACCATCGCAGCACCACTGGCGAGGAGTGTAAGCACCAAACACAAACGAGAGCACAGCGAGATCACCGCCACTTGCTGGACTTGCATAACCCCGTGACACCGCACTCTGCCTGCCCACCCTCGCCCTCCCCACTGCTGCTCGATGCATTCCCACCAGCCTCTCCGCCATCTCTAATGTGCTCTCCTCCCTCTTCCTCTTCCCCTCCTGCTTCCCTCTCTGCTGTTCCTTCTCCTGTTTCCCATTCTCCTGCTTCCCAGTTTCCTCCTCCTTCCCCTTCGCCTCCTCCATCCCCTTCTTATGCTCTTTCCCGTTTTCCTCCTCCTGCTCCTCCCCTAGCTTCCCTTGTTGCCCCTCCTCATCCATCTCATGCCTTTCCTCCTCTTCCTCACCCACTTCCTCTAATCGACCCTCCTCCTCTTCCACTCTCTCCTTGTCTTCCACCCCACAACCCAGCACAACACCCTTCGAAGCACCACTCCCATCCTCCCCAGTTCCCCTGTCAGCCTTGCAAACTAAATCCCCTCCGCCCACTCTTTTCACTCCTCCCACACCACCTATGTCGCCTGCATTCCCTCCCTCCGCACCCCACCACTTAAGCGCGTCCCACGGCAAGCCAGAAGCAGGGAAGCCCTCTCTGAACTGCATCAGTACACTTGACCTCACCTCTTCCCCCCCATCCACCACACCTGCTGTTCCTGCTGCGGTAGCACCAGGCATCGACCCCACCTTGACTATCCCCGGCGCTTGCGCAGCAGCATTGGCTGTTTGTCCCCCTTCCCTTCCCGCTGCCACTCCACCTCTGGCAGCAACACCCACACCATCAGAAGCTTCAACCTTCACGGTATCTCCCCCAGGAGAAACAGGAAGCTCATTAGCGTGGCTTTGATGCTGTTCTAGTGATCGCGTGACAGGGGCAGATAGCTGTCTCAGGGCTCTGGTGTCGTGTCGTTGCGCCAGTGGCAGGGGGAACGGAAAGGGAAAGGCCGGGGGGTTCTGCAGAGGCAAAGACAGGGCCAGGTCAAAGGCGCTGGGGACTCTTCCTCTCACTCTCCCTGCCCTTGCTGCTGCTGCTGCTGATGCTGCGGCTGCTAGAGTGGCCGCTGCAATGGCATCATCCTCGTTATAGTACTCCTCGATATCAGTGTCAGCTGCGGGAGTATTTGGTGTAGAAACCACTGCTGGTGGGGTCATGGTCGTGGCGATGCGGGAGGGAGCAGGAGGAGCAGCAGCAGCAGCAGGAGCAGCAGTAGCAGCAGCACGAGGAGCAGTGGTGACTGTCCCTCCAGTAGTAGCAGAAGCAGCGGCTGCTGCTGCTGGACCCTTGACGAGAATAGGACGGAATTTGCCACCCGTGTTTGCTGCTGTAGTTTGTACCTTCCTCTCAACAGCACCACCACCCATGGTTGCTGCTGCTGCGGCTGGTGCTGCTGGTGCTGCCACTGGTGGTGGTGCTGCTACTGATGGTGTTATTCCACCTCCCTCTCTTCCTCTAACTCCCCCTCCTCCTCCTCTGCCTGTCCCAACCCCGGACCCTCTTCCCGTTGCTGCTACAGCCCCTGCTACAGCTGGCACCACTGTCCCTGCCGCTGCTGCTGCTGCTGCTGCTGCTGGCGCTCTTGCTGCTTGTACTCCACTTGCTGCTACCCCTCCTCCTCCTCCTGCTGCTACCCCTCCACATGCTGCTGCTGCTCCACCTCCTGCTGCTACAGCAGCTGCATGTGGCACCATTGTAAAAGACACTGGCACGGGAGGAAGTGCCGAAACAAGCCGCCCAGCTCCCATTGCTGTGGCATAAGCTCCAGTCCGACCTGCTGCTGCTGCTGCCACTCCTGCCGCAGCAGCAGCAGCAGCAGCAGCAGCAGCAGCAGCAGGAGTAGCAGGCGCAGCAGCAGCACCACCAGTGGCGGCAGCAGGTGTGCGTGCGAGTGAAGCAGACAAGGCATGGGAATTCGAAGCAGCCGCAGTCGCAGCCACAGCAGCAACAGCAGGAAGGGGAGGAGGAGGAGGGGTAAGGCGCTGGGACTGAATGGCAGGAGGAATAGTGAGAGCAGGAGAAGAGGTAATGGAAGAAACTACTGCTGCTGCTGCTGCTGCTCCTTCTCCCCTTCCTTTTCCTGCCGTTGTTCTTCCTCCTCTGCCGCGTCCTGCCGGTGCTCTCAATCCCCTGCCTGCCCCAGTTCCTGCCCCTCCTCTGCCTGCTCCCCTTCCTGCTCCTCGGCCTGCTCCTGTCCCTCCTGCTTCGTTTTCTCCGCCTGCTGCTGCTGCTGCTGCTGCCTGTAAATTCTGCTGCTGCTGCTGCTGCTGCTGCTGCTGCTGCTGCTGCTGCTGCTGCTGCTGCTGCTGCTGCTGCTGCTGCTGCTGCTGCTGCTGCTGCTGCTGCTGCTGCTGCTGCTGCTGCTGCTGCTGCTGCTGCTGCTGCTGCTGCTGCTGCTGCTGCTGCTGCTGCTGCTGCTGCTGCTGCTGCTGCATCAGCTGAAGGCGCTGCTGCTGCAACTGGAGCTGCTGGTGGTGCTGCAGCAGGTGAGGGGGGATGGGCTGCTGCTGCTGCTGTTGCTGTTGCTGCTGCTGAAGAAACATCTGCCGCTGCTGCTGCAGCAACAGTTGCTGCTGTTGCTGTTGTTGTTGGTGTTGTTGCTGCTGCTGTTCCTGCTGGTACTGCAAGTGATGCTGCAGGGACGGATTCGATGCTGGGGCTGATGAGATTCGTCTGTGGAGTGGAGCAATATACATAGCAGCAACATAGCACAAGGAACAGATGGAAGCAGAATTGTAGCAACAGACAATGGTCGCGAGTGAGCAGTAACAAGGAAACGATTTGTTTTGAGACGTCTCAAAACAAATCTTTTATCACGTAGCAACAATGATCAAGAGTGAGCAGTAACAACAAGGAAACGATTCTCAAGCGCGATTTTCCAAATGCTTCTATCTATCTACTATGGAGTGCACCCACGCTGTACGAACACACTCCGTGTACGAACACACTCTCTGTACGAACACACTCCGTGTACGAACACACTCCCTGTACGAACACACTCCCTGTACGAACACACTCCGTGTACGAACACACTCCCTGTACGAACACACTCCCTGTACGAACACACTTCCTGTATGAACACACTCCCTGTACGAACACACTCCGTGTACAAACACACTCCCTGTACAAACACACTCCGTGTACGGACACACTCCCTGTACAAACACACTCCGTGTACGAACACACTCCGTGTACGAACACACTCCTTGTACAAACACACTCCGTGTACGAACACACTCCGTGTACGAACACACTCCCTGTACAAACACACTCCGTGTACGAACACACTCCGTGTACGAACACACTCCCTGTACAAACACACTCCGTGTACGAACACACTCCGTGTACAAACACACTCCGTGTACGAACACACTCCGTGTGCGAACACGCTCCATGTACACACCCAGATGTATTTGAGTGATAAAAAAGGGGAAGCGAGGCACTCACTGCGATGCCAGCACGGGCTGGGAGAAAGCAGAAGCAGCACTCGCAGCAACAGGAGCAGCAGCAGCTGCAGTGGAAGGGAGAGCAGCAGCAGGAGTCCTGAGTGCATAGGGGGAAACACCCACTGGCACCTGCATGCCTGCTCCTGGCAGCAGCGGGGTGAGCGAGGGCAGAGAGGAGGCTAGGGCAGGAGATGGCGCATGGGAGGGATGAGAGGGATGGGTAGAAGGAGCGTGCATGCCTGGTGGAGGGGGGTGCTGCAGGGTAGGTGAGGGTGCGGAGAGATGGGCAGTGGGGAGGGATTTGGAAGCGGGTGAGAGGTGGGCGGTGGAGGGGGACTGGGGAACGGGTGAGAGGTGGGAGGAGGGGTGGTGGGAGTGGGCGGAGGAGAATGCAGGAGGGGGAGTGGGGGAGGAGGAGTGGGGGGATGTGTCTCCGGTGCTGCTGGTGGTGCCGGTGGTTGTGCCTGCTGCTTGCTCGTCTGCTACAGCTGCTGCTGCGTCTCGCTTGATCTCCTCTATCGTCATGCCCGATGCGATCTGCAGTGGGGGAGGGAAGGGGGGGAGGGAAGGGGGGAAGAGGGACCTTTGAGACATCTCAAGTGTTTGCTGCGGCGGCTTGCTTGATCTCCTCTGTCAGCATGCCCGATGCGATCTGCGGTGGAGGAGGGAAGGGGGGGGGCTTTGAGACGTCTCAAAAGTTTGCTGCTGTGTCTCGCTTGATCGCCTCTATCATCATGCCCGATGCGATCTGCGGTGATGGAGGAAGAGGGGGGGTGGGGAGAGGGACCTTTGAGACATCTCAAGAGTTTGCTGCTGTAGCTCGCCTGATCTCCTCAATCATCATGCCTGATGCGATCTGCGGTGGTGGAGGAAAGGGTGGAGGGGGGGGGGGAGGAAGAGGGACCTTTGAAGCATCTCAAGAATGTGCTGCTGTGTCTCGCTTGATCTCCTAAATTGTTATGCCTGATGCGAGCTGCGGTGGGGTTGGGGTTTGGGGAGGAACAGTGGAGAGCAAACGAAAGGGGAAATGAGGGGTTCACGACAGTACTAAAAAACAGGGGAAGCAGAAGAATGTGACAATCCAAAAAAAACAGGAGGATATAAATCTGCTATCGTGAAAGGGAGAAGAACGGCTTACCTTTCTGAAGGGCCACTTGGGTATGCCGTTTTCGCGGCATATCTTTTTCAGAATAGCAGTGCTTACACCTGAGAAGATTGGGACGGCGAGGGGGTTGAGAAGGGGTAAAGGGGGGGGCGGGGGGGGGGGGGGGTTGACGTTTGCTGACCTTTGAGAGCGGAATCCGGAAAGCACTCCACCTAGGGAGGGCTTTTGCAGAGAGGATCATTGTTGACGGGTATGATGCGTGTCCAATCCTTTTGTCTCCAAGCACAGCGCACGAAGTTTCTAAAGCAAGTTCGTCGCCTTTATTTATGTCCAATGCTTAACCTTCGAGTTTATTTAAAAGCGGTGGCGAAGGAAGAGGGGAAAGGCTTTGCGGTTCAAAGGAAAGGCGAACTGGTGCAAGTAGCGACGAGATGCTTTCTAATTTGAATGCAAGAAGCCAGCCGGCACGCACCCAGACTCGCCGATGCGTCGACAAGCGTCGACGCGAAGTGCTTAGAAACCTCCTCATACGTCAATTGCCCTTCTCGCTCTCGCTTCGACATTCTTCTAATCCGTGCTTCCTACTATTTCTCGAAACGAGGGACACGCAATGGTACGCTGACACTAGCTGGTTCCGCAGGTGTTTGCAGCGGTTAGGCGACGACTTGAGTCGCCAAGGTGAGCAGCAGAACGTTCAGGCCTGTGACGCCGCTAGGAGGTGCTTCAAATGCGACTCGAGGTGGGAGTTCCCTATCACACAAAGTGGGGTGAATGGAGAAAAAGTTTAAACACATCCAAATATTTGAAGGGGTACAGTACCCCCCCCCTATCTTACACATTTGCCTTGTGCACAATGAGTGTCTACATTTATCGCGTACAGTGCAATGGCATGCCAGCTTTTATGAATCACGTGAGGGTAACGATCACTAGTTGGCGATAACCTGCGTGGTTTTTTACTTCACTTCCAACCATCTCCCACAGCATACAACGATCTCTTTATGCGAGTCGCATTTGATCACAGGATATTGGTCGGAAACGGTTTTCACTAACTATAACAAAGCACATTCGGGAGCAGATCAGTTATGAGGACGTAGAGAAGCATTTTAACCTCCCAGTCCTTGAGGCTGCTGCACGACTCGGTCGGTGAATGTACACGCGCCCGTTTATTCGTTCCGTCATGGTTCCGTCATTATCAGGGTGTAATATGTTTTACTCGTCATGGTTCCGTCACCGTGCCGTCAGATATTCCCCAGTGGTTGTACAGTCGAGTGGACGTCGCGTCCTGACATGTTTCTGTTACAGGTGTAAGCAACGCCACTTTGAAGAGGGTATGTCGTGAAAACGGAGTTTCCAGATGGCCTTACCGAAAGGTACGAGCCGCTGCCATTTTCCAAATTGCCTTGCAGTGCGTTCTTTTCAACCGCACTTGCCACAGCATGGTTACGTTTTCAACTTACAATTCCCATGTCCTCTCTTTCCGCACCGGGCCTCGTTTTTTTTATTATTAAACAATTAATGGCTGGTAAAACACTGGATGAAATCAAGCGAGATGCAGCCCTACTAAACCTGCAAAACGTTGTAACGCCCTCTTCATCTTCAAAATCCCAGAGCCCAGGAATGTCCAGCGCTCAAGCGTCTCCTTGGCGTATGACAGTGAACAAGCTGGCGATGCCTATGCATTGGTGTAAGCGGACGGTCAATTAGTTCTCTGCACAATCTCTAGTCACGTGACTGCCGTTTGCTGAATGCCGTTGCATTGATGTACCCTTTTTCCCTTTGCTTTGATATGCTCCAGACCAGCACCTGTCTTTCCACTGGCAATCAGAGCGCAGGGACTTGTGAGCTGCGACAAACCAGGGACCAGTAATCGAGCTGCTGAGGTTGTCATAGCTGAAGGGAGCCATAATGGGTCCATGGCTGGCAGAACTATGAGTTACACAGGCTCAGGTACCTTTGGCCATACAAATGGACTTTATGAAGGCAAAAATAGGTGCGCAAACGGCCATATTGCTGGTGATAAGCAACTTCTGCAGCAAGAACAGACAACAGGGGTGCCATGGCTGCGAAGAAATTACATAACGTAATGTAAATTGTGCTGTGATACCGTTTGTGTTCCTTCTCATCCAGCATTACTTTCTTCCCAAATGCATGATGATGAGACCACTCTGATGTACCGTACATAAGCCAATGATATTAAATATTCAGAAAAAAACCATCATAGCTTATGAAAGGACCCCCCTTTTCTGTACATAGCCACATAAACACGGGTGGTGCGCCATACTAGAATTCCAGTGAACGCTGCTCCGATCCAGCACACCCCCATCATGATTGTGAAAGTTAGCCGGAAGCAATGGGTCCCAACGCACTCAGTGAACTCTGACGAATCAAGCCTCCATGAGCTGAATGCCTGCACCAGTAATTGTTGCCAGGGATTCCCCATACCATTACCCTTGTGCGCTTCGTAGTCGTAAAGGTACCCGGCGATCAGGCTTGAAAACAAGTACGAACCAATTGGAGTGGCAGCCGCCACTGCATTGAATATTAGACCGAAATTCTTCAGGCCAAAGAGCTCACTCACGGTTGCAGGCATCACAGACCAGTGAACACCATAGCAAAGCCCAACAATGAGTGAGCCGATGTGCAAAGAGTATGGGAAGGCTATCGCGTAAATGGCATGACCAGCTGACATAACAAGCTGTGCCACAAGAAGCAGCAGTGGCCTTGGAAGGAGATAAGTCCTGCAAGCGACAAGTATGAAATGTGAAACATGATACTATGCAATCAATACACAACCAATATCAGGAGTTCATCCACTTACTTGACGAGGTGCTCGGAGCAATAACCTCCAGCAAGGCGGCCAATGAAGTTCCACACGCTAACCAGCGACACAAACAGTTGCACCCGGCTGTAGCCCTGGGAGGATGCCATCTGTGCCAAGTTGTTGATTGCAGTCAACCCAGATCCACAGCCACAAATGTACGAGAACACAAGCAGCCAAAAATCAGCCTTTCGAAGAGCTTCAACAAGTGTGAAGTCTTCACCACGTCTCGGACCCTTCCTTCTCGTCCGTACAGCACCTTCTCCCACTGCTAAGAGGATCTGGGAACTCCTCCTTCTGTTCAGCTGTCTGTGAACAGCTTCGTCCAGTCCCCTATGATGAACATCCAGGACTGGGTGAGAGTTGTAAGTCCTCTCCTGGTCAGGCACCAACAAACCTTTTTGAGAGTCCCCCGACTCCTGATCACACAATTCTGAACTCAAATAAGCATGTGGACTCTGCACCAAATAAACAAAAATAACAATTATAAACTGGGATAAGCTTTAACCGACTTACTCAGCATCCATATCAAACGTTAATAAATCTTTAGACTCACGCAATGTAGAGGCTGGTTTTCTTTCCCATCGTCAGCTGGTGTTTCAGATGGACTGAAGTCGGAAAATATGGAGTCTGTGCTTAACACTCGATGAATTAGGGGTTGAAGTTTGTCATCAGCCTCTCTTATATCCACCTCTCCGTCGCACGGTTCATCTCTTCTTGAAGTGTCAATGAAATTAAGGTGAAGCTCTTCAAAGAAGTGCGCAGCCGGCACAGCCAAAGGTGTAACCAGAAAGAACAGCATTCCAGCAAAAATCCATGCCCGGATCTGCCGAAAATGGGCAAGTGAAACTTATCAAAGCATTTTTCTTTTAGACATCGCACTAACGCACCTGAAACGTTAATAACATCTGACCCTGCCTCAACGCACCTGAGATGTTAGTTCCATCTGATCTTCAACGAAGATTGCAACAAGAAGGTAGCATGCCAGGCCCGTGCAGGACATGACGACTTTCTCAAAGCTCTTTTTCTCCTCAATATCATCGTACAAGACCCGGTTTTCTGACCTGCACAAAGAGGCAAATTAAGACTTTTGATCCATATGTGAACCGCCATTTTGAAACCCCGACTCGTACCTGACAAAGCTCATGGTTGGAACGGCAACTGCCAAAGGCACGACGGCAAGGACCAATAGAAACGACGGCTGGTTTGGAGCTAGAAAAGCTGAGTAAGCTTGAGAGAGAATGGCATTCGAAAGGCCAACCAGTCCTTTCAGGACGCCAACAACTGGTCCTCGCGATCTCGGAGAATTGCGTATGCAGGTCACGAGAGCTGCTGTGTTGAACCAAGCGGTCCCCTGAGCTCCAACTAGAATTAACGAGCACATCTGCGAAAGAAATGCGTAAGGATCGACCTCAGGGTACATCAGGAAGTCAAAGCTATCCAATTCGCCGCGAATGTGGCATTAATCGTGGACTCACCTGCCAGAATGGTAGCGGCTGAATGCGCTGCGAAGCTACGAGCCATAGACCACCAAATCCAGTCAGATAGTGCAGTGCACCAACCAGAAGCATAAGCCACCCTGGTAGCCAGTCGCACAAGATACCCGCAACTAGACCGACGCTTTCTCCAACATCCTTGGCAACGGCTAGAGCCTGAATGTGCTTCTGATCATAGCCTGCTACGGCTTTCAGAACGGGTGAGTAAATGGCGAATGTCCCGGACGTTCCGGCTGTGGAAAGAATCCACATGCAGCAAACGAAGCATAACCACTTCGCAGCCGCCATGACGAGATCCTCTGCTCCACAGCCTTGTGTGTGTGTCCTATCAATGTCTAAAACACCTGCGAGCAGAAAACGGCGATTGGATGGGTGGGATGGAGGAAGAAGTGCTGGTGGATCCGTGTCTGGAGTATGGAAATATTTCCGCCTACCTGCCCAGTACAAGCCTCGATTGGCTCGAAAAAGGACCCCTGCTTTACGGAGCAGCTCCTTTTCCTTTGTGCCTGCCAGCCGTCAGACCTGTCGGAACGAACTAGCTCGGCTCCATTGAGTCTGGAATGCGGATCGCTTCATGAATGTCAATTCGAGACTCGCTACCGAGTTTCACCCGGTACTAAAACAACTTGGTATGCAGTAGTTAGAACTCTATTGAGGAATACACAATCAATGCTCTATAGTACAATTGTTCATTAATCAAATTTTCTCAGATTCTCTGCGAATTCCTAGCATAATTCATTGTTTTACTTCACAATGTAACTGCTCTTGTTTAATTTTTGCAATCAGAAGATCTAAAATCATCTGACTCTAATATGACTGTGGGTGTTAGAGTGGGCTTCCGATAGCGAGTATGGAGTTGTGGCTCGCAGCTACTTACACTTTCAATCTGAGTCATCAGTTTAGGGTTTCGAGTCAGACAGCAGTCACCCAATCAATCTTCCCGCCATGGCTGCGCGACGCGCCATGCTAAACCGTTGCCAGTCCTTTCATTAGTTACATCCACTATTACCGTCTCTCGTCATTTATTCTCGCGTCTTGCAGCCAGCTTGCAAGCCCTTAAGTTTTAAACTGATTGCCTCACCTTCACTGTCAGACTGACTACCACATTTTCAAGTTTTTGGTCAACACTCCATTGTCGCCAGTCCGTTCGTGTCTGCTGACGCGAGCCGAAGCATAATACCGTCGAATCGCTTACGCTAGTCCAACCCGCGTATGTTAGGATTCGTAGCCAAATCCATGGATCGCCAATACGAGTACTTGCAAGACCAGGAGGGTGGCGGCTTCGCGTCAGGCTGGCCTGCCACCGACCAAGTGCCAGGTCAGCAACAACCACATTCCTCACTGCCAGGTCAGCAGCAATCGCAGCCCGGCGATCAAGGGTTTCTAGACGCCAGTAACGATCGGCCAGCTGGCCAGGAGGGTCCGGGTCTCTCGGGTCGACCAGCGGGAGGAATGGTTTCCGCGGAATATGCGGACGAGGGGCAACCCGCTGGAGGCGGAATCGGCGGGAGCGGTTCCGGCGGTGGAACCGGTGCGGGGTTCGCGGGGAAAGGCGTTGCTGGGGGAGCGTCCGCTGCCGGGGGATGCTCCGCCGCTGGCGGAGGTTCCGCCTCTCGTGGAGAATCGTCTCTCGCGCGCATACTGTCGCTGGAAGAGCTATCTACCGGGGAACTACGGTTCGGGAGACACGCGGAGTTGGATTCCGCAGTGGGGAAGGCGCGGGAAGGAGCTTCGGGGGGAGCTGCGGGGGGACTGGGGGAAGGGAGAGCGGACCAGGCGGCAGCTGGGGGGGGCTTGCCTGTTGTGACTGTAACGGGAGAGGAGCGGAGGAGGATGGTGGCGGCGTTGAGGGATGGTCGAGATCGTGCAAGGTGAGGTATTTGGTATTGTATGGGGGATGTTCGATACAGTCACATCGGTTATGGTGGGCGTTTCTAGATTAGTCAGTTTGATCCTCGTGGGAGTGCCTGGAGTCATTGTGCAATGTGCACCAGGGGATTGGTCCTCATAGTGACCCTAAACGTTTGGTAATCATCCCCGCTCGCTAGTGTCACATTCTGTGTGCCCTGTCCTGCCCGTTTCCATGTGTCTGTACCCGTGAATTATGTTGTCTCCTCTTTTCTGACGGTAGTTGCCAGTAAGATCCCTCCTTTTCGTCCTCCTCCTTTCTCTCCTTTCAGTGCTGTTGCTGCCCCTGCCGCTTCAGTTGCTGCTACTGATGCTGCTGCTGTTGCCGTTGCTGCCACTGACGCCGCCTCGCCGCCGCCGCCACTGCTGTTCTTGCAGCTTGATTGGCCTGTTATCAGCAGCTGAGCTCGAGCCAATCATGGCTGATTCCCGTTCTCCGTGCTGTCCTGTCCAACGTGATAAAAGTGTTGGTTTTGCGACGTCTCAAAACAACATTTTTATCTCCGTGCTGACCAACTTTACAGATTATACTTCAGACCAGATTCAGAGCTATCCTTTCTCACGCAGCACTCCTTCTCCTCCCCCCTCCCCTCTCCCCTCTCTCCTCTTCCCTCTTCCCTCTTCCCTCTTCCCTCTTCCCTCTCCCCCCTTCCCCCTCCCCGTTCTCCTCCCGCCACCCTTCCCCTCCCCGCTCTCCCCCTTCTCCTCCAGGGATCGGACTCGACATCTGCAGGACGCCCTATCACGTCTCGACACGTGGCTCAACGGTGTGAGCATGAGGAGGCGCGTGGGCAGGGGCGACGGAGCCAACGCTGCAGCTGGTGGTGCTGCTGTCAGTGCTGGCGGCGCGAGCGGGGCAGCTGGGACGCCAGGGGATAACAGCCGAAGCAGTGGCAGCGCGGGGGATGGTGCTGCTGGGGTTGGAGTTGGAGCAGGGGGGGGAGGGGCTGCTGGTGGTGGTGGGGGAGGAGGGGGAGGAGGGGGAGGAGGGGGACGGACAGGGCCGGGGCACTCGAAAGCTGGGGGTGGCGCGAACCGGCATGCGCGCACATTGGTGCGTTGCCTCCATTGACTCCAGTTGACTCCCATGACCCGTCAAACCCCATTGACTCCCGTGGACTTCAGTTGACCCCGTTGACTCCTGTTGACCCCGTTGACCCCGTTAAATCTTGTTGACTCCGTTGACTCCCGTTGAACCCCGTTGACTCCTCTTGACTCCTGTTGACCCCGTTGACCACTTCTGAGCCCACTCCCATGTCAGCAATTTACTCCTGCTTCTCCGTTCTGCACCGCGAAACCGTATCCTTTCCCTCTGTGCCACCAGCCCTTCCTTCCTGCTACCTTCACTTTCCTTCATGACACTTTCATTCTTGTCTTGCACCTTCTATTGTCAAACGCCTGCCTTCCAGTCCAGTGTGCGTTTTTTTAGAATTCTCAAAAAACATACCTTCACTTTCCTTCATGACACTTTCATTCTTGTCTTGCACCTTTTCTTGTCAAACGCCTGCCTTCCAGTATGTGTTCCGTCCAATCCATCCCCTTGTCCCCAATCCACATCAATTTTTCCATTCTGTTTTCTGCTTCTTTGTCCCTCCCTTAATCTCCTGTCCTCGCGTCCCCATTCCCCTCCTCTTTCCCCCTTTCTTCCTCAGTCGTGAGTTAGTTTGTTCTGTCTATCAACAGAGGAGTCTATTCAGCAGTTCTGTCGTCATCCTCCAATGCGCCCTGTCTCTCCTCTCTCCCCACATCTGCTCGCCCCACCTCCTTTCCACCACCAGTCAAACCACGAAAACGCCTCGGATCAAAAGCACCTCGCAGGGTCTGGCGCAGCAGCAGGAGGAGCAGCAGGGGCAAGCGGACACGAGGGGCAGCAGCAGCACAGAAAGATGAAGGGCAAGCGATCCCGCCCCAAGGCAGATGTTGCAGGGACTGCAACTGCAGCAGGAGGGAGTGTCAACGGCGTAGTAACAGACTCTCTTGCTGCTGGTACTGGTACTGGTGCTGCCGGTGGTGGTGCTGGTGGTGGTGCTTCTGCTGCAGCAACAGGCGCGGGAGGGGGGCTCAAGCGGTCCCTTTCGAGCTCTTCGCACAAGCCTGGAGGCTCGGCAGCAGGCTCGGGCTCAGGCTCGGTGTTCCGGGCCGGACCTGTGCATGGGGTGACGTCTGGAAGCAGGGCAGGAGCAGGTGATGGGGGAGGGGGAGGAGGAACAGGAGGAGGGGGAGCAGGTAGTGATAGTGGGCCTAAGGGACAGGCGGGCAAGGGGATAGGGTTGCACCAGACAAGGGATGCCAGTGGGAGGTTTGGCACCATGCGAGCCGGGGGGAGTGGTGGGGGAGGAGGGGGAGGCTCGTCTGTGCCTGGAAGCCCGCTTCAGGGGGAGGAAAATGCGCCTAAGAGCAGTGGAGGCGGAGGGGGAGGGGGAGGCGGAGCGGGGATCACTAAAGGACGAGCGACCCGCGGTCCTAGGACGTTGGGCGGGGGCGATAAGGCAGGCGCGGGCGGAGTGGGAAATGCAGGTGCAGGGGGGGGGGAGGGGGAGGAGGAGCGGCGGTGAGAAAGGTGGGAGGGGGAGCAGCAGATAGGAAAGGGGCGTTTGGCGCACGAGCTGCTTCCCCTGCTCATTCCGTGCAGTCTGAACGAGAGGGCGGAGGGGATGGGGCTGGATTGTGGGATCAGCCGCATCACCAGCAGCAGCATCAGCAGGGTAATCAGTCAGGGCTCCCCCCTACTAGCAGGGGGAGAAAGCCAGGCAAGCTGCATAAAGCAGGAGCGGCAGGGGGAGGAGGAGGAGTTGGCGGAGCAGGGGGAGGAGCAGGGGGTGGGTCAGGGGGCATTGGCGCAGCAGCAGCAGGGGGAGCAGGGGGAGGGGGAGCGGGAGCTGGCTTAGGTATGGCTATGTCCCCGTTAGGGTCTGTGGGGGTGAGTGAAGGGGGTGGGGAAGGGGACGAGGAGGGGTATGGGGGGGAGGAGATGGATGGGGAAGGGGGTGGGGGTGGGCGGGAGGGAGGGGGACTTTGGCCGACAGAGAGTGGGAGTGTGGGGGGGCATTTGGGGGGCGCGGGGGAGAGCTTAGGGGGAGCGGGGGGAGGGGCGGGGGGGGAAGCAGGGGGCTTGTCGGAGGTCCAGTCCCGAGGCACGGGATTGGCTAAAGTGCGGAGAAAGGACAAAAAGGGCAAGCTGGGGAGAGTGAGAGAGAAAACAGAGGGAGGAGGGGGGGTAGTGAAGGAGGAAGGGGGAGGTGGAGGAGGGGGAGGGGCGGGAGGGGCGGATGGGGTGAGGCGACAGGGGAGGACGGGGAGATTAGTGGCTGCTGGGGGGTTGAGATTGAAGAAAGAAGCCGTGTCTAGCATGGGGAGTGAAGGGGCGGACGATGGTGGGG